TCATCACCTCAAAATGGACTTACTTCAAAAGCCTTCTCCTTGGTCTTCCTGCCTCCAGTCTCTCTACAATTCAACCTCCACTCAGCTGACAAAGTGATCTTCCTAAAGCATAGCTCTGACTGACCATGTTACCTCTCTACTTAATAAACTCCACTGGCTCCCTATTCCTCCAGGATTAAATATAAAATCCTCTCTTATTTATAGCCCTTCACATTTTGAACCTTTCCTTCTTTTCCAGTTCTCTTACACTTCCACACACTCCACCATAAACTGCTCTCCACTTCCCAAACACAGGCTTTTTGCACTGTGAGAGTGGGTAAATCAGCAAAGTCCTAGGAAGAAGTCAGGGAAGCCAAGAGGTGGAGATGAGGAGGGAGCACTGCGTATGGCATATTCAGGGAGGACTAGCACCTCTGGTGTGAGGCTAACTAAGGCCTTTTAAGGGCTGTTCAATAACATCTGGTGTCCACCTGGCACCCAACTCTCACCTTGTGGCTCCAAAAAGATGTAGCATAGGAAGCGGTCACACCCCAGTAAAACCATCTCAGCAAACAGGCTAAACCACAATGATGGTAGCTGACAGACATCTTGTATATACTTATCAGTGAACATGAAGTGTTTCAAGGAAGGAGAAGCAACTAGGGCAAGTGTATCTGGACATAACACCATGAAATCAAGTGAAGTTGGAAGTAAAAGCAGTAGCCTCATATCACAGATAAAAAAGGTAAGACTTTTTGAGAGTTAACTTGTCCATAATCCCATCACTAAGTATCTACAGAAAGAGTCAAACCCCAGTGTCCTGACTCCAAGTCCAGCATGAAATTCATGATCCTATGAGCCATCTTTCACTATTCTGTGTATTTCCCTTTTATTGCCCCATGCTCAGTTCAGTAACTTGCACCTACTTGAAGATCTATTACTTTAGGGTGGGTGCTTTTCTTTAGCAATGTAGATCACAACTCCTCTAACTCAAGTGATGGTCTCCTATCTCTGTGCCTTTGCTCACCTTTTCTCTGTAGAATGTTATTCGAATGTTGTCTCACCCATTAGACTGTGAACTACTCAAGAGAAGGGACTTTTACCTTTCTTTGTAGCCCCAGCACATAGCACAGTGCGTCGCATACAGCAGGCACGTTAATGTTTATTGGCTGGCTCTTTCTTCATGTGTTGAATTTCTACCCACCTAAATCCCAGCTGAAACGTCACCTCCTTCCTGAATCCTCCAGGCAGTTGTTTGCCTCTGTTACCCTTCAATCTCACATATAACGGTTGGTAGTCTAATTCATTTCTGTATTACGACCAGTTGCACGTGTCTTACCCGCCTATCTACTAGACTGTAAAACCCATGAGAGCAGAAACCATATTCTATCTCCTGCTTTTCCTAGTATATGTTCAACATATAACAGGCATTTAATAGATGTCTGATGAATTCAATTTATACAGCACCTTTTAAGGAGCTAAACAAGGTTTATTATTTCACAGAAATACTACAGGTGAGAACAGTAAAGAGAAATTTTAAACTAATATAATTCTAACTATTCGATTTAGTAAACATTTATTAAGTGCTTACTGTGTTGAAAGCACTTACTGATACAAGGTTTCAAAAAAGTATGGTCCCTGCCTAAGGTAGCTGTCAAGGGAGGGAAGGGGAACTGGGGATAAAAACACACAAATAACTCATACATAGTAAGCATTATTAGAGAGATGCACAATAACGCTCCACGTATAGTTTGAAGGAGTAAAGATCATTAACAACTGGAAGGGTTCGAGGAGATAGTATTTAAGCCAACCTTTTAAAAATGGGTAGGAATTCAGTAAGCAAAGGAGAAAAGACATTCCATAGGGAAGGGGGTGAGCAAAGGCACAAAGAGAAAATGAAGGGTGTTTTCAAGCAATAAGCAGTTCAATTTGGCTTAGATCCTAGAGAACATGAAAGTGACAGAGATAAGGCTGAAAAAGCAAGGTGGTGCCAGATTACAGATGGCATTGAATGCTAGGCAAAGGAATTTGAACTTTACTCAATGAGCAAAATATTCTTGAGCAGAGAAATGACATGACCAGCTTTTTGTAGAAGGAACTGTCTGGCAGTGGTATGAAGAGTTGTTTAGAAGGGGGAGGGAATATAGGAGAAAAACTCATTGGGAGGGTTAGTAATAATGAAAATAAATGAATGAATGAAAAAGCATTTATTTAATAATGAAGTGTAGATGTGAGAGATGTAGAGGTAAAAGTGACAGGACCTGGTAACTGGCTACATATCAGAGGTAAGGGAAAGAACAAGAATAACACAAAGATTTCAAACATGGCAGGCTGGATGATCGGTGACAGGAATAGCTAAGTCAGAAAGAACAGGTTTTAGGAACAAAGATAAGCATGGTTAGTCAGTGGAATATCCTGGTAGAGGTGCCCTGTAAGCAGTAAAATGTGGGTCTCATAGCTCCAGAAAGGAGTAATGCAAAACTCCAAGATTCAGGAATCTCTGCATAAGGGTGACAGTCTAAGAGCCACATCAGAAAAGAAAGAGAATGAAGAACAGACCTTTGGGAAACATGCACGGTTCAAAGAGTCAAAAAGAGAATGTGAACTCAGATAAAGAACTACTTAAAGAGATTTCTAGAACCAGGGCCATATGGTGCCTCTGAAACCAACAAACAAGAAGGGATGGTAAAAATGGTAGTTACTTATCTTATCAAAATTAAAATACTCAGCAGTTAGACAATAACCACCATATAGCACGAACAATGTCAACAAGGTGATAATGGCCAATGTTTTAAATGGTTAATGTTGCCATAGCTTCTAAGGCTATAAGAACATATCTTTCCAACAGCCCAATGAAGCCATTCAGCCAGCAGTCATGGGTCTGTGTTGTCCTTAGTCTGCAGACCCCATCAATCAGAAGCTGAATATGTCTCCAGAGACAGGGGCTGGAATCCTGGATGGCAGGCTAAGAGTCTCAGCAAAAGGCAATAAGAGAACACATCCTCCTGAGCATCCAATCTTAAACTGGCACAAATGGTCTCATATTTATAACTTTCCAACTCATGTTACGTAATAACATAAGAGTGAGTGATAATACATGTATTTTTGAGTCCCAAATAAATGCTCTGAGAATGTGAAGGAGAGTGTGAGCATTACTTTCAGTTATCAGGTACAGAGGAAAAAGCTGTTAACTCCGGAGCCAGAGGAGAGGGCTCAGTTTCAAATCCCATTTCAGATGGTTACTATCTCTATTTTGACCATAAGTAGTCACTTAACCTACCTGTGGTTTCCTTACATCTATAAAATAAAAGTTGACTAGGTGGCCTCTTTGGTCTCTTCCAGCTCTAGAACTATGATCCTACGACACTAGGTTACCAAGCCGAGGCACTGACATGATTACTTGCATTTAAAAACAACTGTCTTTAACAAATTTCATCCTGCCAACTTAGACCACTATTCTAAAGCTTTAGTATTAAGACTTTTAAAAGAGTAGTTAGTTTATTGAGTATGAAACCATTTTGCAAGCATAAGTTCTGGTTAGCTAATGAATGTGTAAACTGAAGACTATTTTTACCTAATTTATAAACTTAAAAGTTTATAACATCTGGGCATCAGTTCACTCTTCTGAAAATGCAGTTGGCCTAGAGCAGCTCTTAAGTGATTTTCCAACATTCTGAGACTACGTAAAAAATAATCAGTGTTTCTTTTCAAGTAGCCTAGAACTCAAATTGCCTTTTTTTCCTCTTCCCTCCCCCCCACCCCCTTTATAATCCAGGGAAACAGAAACAGAAGTAAGTATAAAAACTTACTGGAAAACATTTTCGCCAAACCTACATGTATATGTATATATAACATATATACACACGTATATAAAACACTAAAACAAATTACATATGTATAAGTATACAGAGTTGAAAACAAATTTTATTAAGCTAAATTTAAATTGATTTCTACATTCTATTTATTTAGGTCAATAGTTTCCGTAACTGAACATTAACTTAAAAGCACCACAATTAAGTACTTTTTAAAAATTATTAATTTTGCTCAAATAATTAACCCTAGCCACCAGAATAAATCTCTGGCACTTCGATTTTACTGACCCAAACACACTTACTTTGAAGTTAAGGCCAATATGTCAATAATCTGTAACTCAGCTGGCAAAAGCAGAGAGCAGGCAAAGAACTTTATTTTATTGTAAGCATTATCTGGCTTATTATACTTTCGAAAAATACTATAATTCTTACGTAAAGACAATACAGCAGGAAAAGACGGCTCCGACTTAATGCCTGAACTTTGAATGAGCTGTACATATCCTTAAGGTCTTCCTCAACAGTTGAACAAAACACGAGGCCTGACCAGCCCAGAGAACCCCTGGACGAGGGCCACCAAACGGAGGGAGGGGGGCGGGGGGCGTTGCCAGAGCTATTTAAGGTTGCTCCTGACCCAGCTTCACGGGAAGTGCCCAATTTGGAGGGTTTCACAAAGGGGGGCAGAAAAGGAGCCGGCCAAGCAACACCATCTTAAAGCTGTCAAAATGACAAGAAACGCGGCCAGCCCGGAGGGGGAGGGGGACAGGTTCAGCTGTCACTTTCGGACGCCGCTTTTCGCCTCCGGGAGTTAGGGCAGACCCCGTCCGGTCAGCAGGAAGCCCCGAGGGAGGGCACGGTTCTGGGTCTGGGCAAGAGGGTGGGGGGCGCGAATAAAAACTGTGGCCGCTTCGGTGGCGGGTGGCGGGGAGAAGGAGAAAAGATCCAACTTTTCCGCCCAATCCTGCCACTCGCTCGGGCTTGGAGATGGGGGCGCATGCGGCCGCGCAGAGGGACCCCCCCAGGGGACCCCACCCCTCCCGCCCCCCGCCCACCTGGAGAAGACCGCCGCTGCAGCGCGGGGGCTCCGCGACCCGCGGGACCCCCTGGCGTCCCCAGCCCAACAGCCGGGGCCGGCCACCGCCCCTTCCCCCACACGCCACCGCCCCCCGGCCGGAGCCGCCCCGGAGCCCCCTCCCCAGGCCTCCCACTCACCCAGGTAGCGGCTCCGCAGGCGGGACGGGTCCTCCAGCCCCAAGGACCGCTTCCTCACGTCCCACAGCAGGTGTGGGCAGCAGCCACCCCGAGACATGGCGCGGAGGGAGGCGGGGAGACCCCGGGGTGGGGGGAGGGGTGGAGGAAGGGGAGGGGGAAGGAAGGGAGGGAGGCCAGGGACGGGGGGACGGGGGGGCGGGGGGGAAGGAGGGCGGCAGGAGGGGGCGTGCACGCGGAGGCTCGGCTCCGAGCCGCGCGCGCCGAGCCTGGCTACGGTGCCCGGGCTCCCTCCGACACGATGCCCGGGCTATGTGTCTCCCGGAGATCGTCTCATGCTCTCTCCCAGAGCGCCGCTGCTGTCTCCTCCCTCAGCCCCCTTCAGGGAGGAGGAGGAGAAAGAGGAGGAGAAGGCGGGCGGCTCCACCTCCTCCTCCGCCCCCTCTGACACGTTCCCCACCCAGGCCTTCTCGCGAGATGACTACTACCCCGCCCGAGCGATAGGGGTCAGAGCTCCTCGCACACAGCATTTCCCTCTTCGCGGCCGCTCTAGCTCAATCCTGGATCTCTATGGACAAAAAAGGGGTGGGGCGGAGTGGAGAGGCAGAACCAGGATTCATTCTTCTCACACAATTCCATTTCAAAAGACTTGGGGAAGAGTTGGGTAGCTCCATTTTTATTTCGGGCATGGAAGCCACGAGGGTCCCATCTTGAAAGGGAATTTAGCCCCAAATCCAGAGAGAAAGGAAACCGGGAAGAAAGCGTAGCTTCTTTTGCCCTTCTCCAACATGGGCTCCGAAGCCGGAAGACTGAAATGACCTGGGGCTTCTTTCCTGGGTAACCGGCCCTTACCCCCAAAGAGACCAATCGCTGAGAAGGGAGTGGCGTGACGTAAGAGAGGTGCAGGCGGAGGTATCTATCCTGGGCGTGGCGATGAGATGATGCTTTTGTGCCTGTTGCTATGGCTCCGCCTCCTCCTCCTCCTCCTCCCCGGTCCCCTCCGCCCACGGGCAGGGGGTGGGCCTGGGGTGGGCCAAGGCGGGGAGGCTCCGCCCCCTCGGCCTCCTCTCAGCCCTGGGGTCCCGCCGGCACTGAGGTAGCGGGGGCGGTGCAATTCACAGAGAAGGGCACCCTGGGGGAGCGGAGGGAACCGGTGACTGAGGCAGGGAAAGGTTACGAGCTGCCCTTGGTCGGCTAGGGGAGCGGGTGCACCGAGTCTCAGCCGGGAGGATGGCCGCCCACGGAGTCCGAGGCCTGCGGGCCACCTACCACCGCATGCTCGACAAGGTGGAGCTGATGCTGCCCGAAAAGCTGAGGCCCCTCTACAACCACCCGGCAGGTAACGGCCGCCTGTCGCCTTCGCCTCCCCGTCCCCTAAAGACTTAACTGGCCAGCCTAGGCCTTCTTTGCGGAAGTCAGACCCCCCCCCAAGAAAAAGCCTGTCCCCCTTTTCACCTCACCCCCTCCCCAAAACAGCCTGCGATCCCCAAACTTCACCGTACCCTGAAAACGTTCAGTACTCCCGCTCCGCAAACATCCTGGGTCGTGACCCGCTTCTCACCCCGCGCCCCAAAAAGTCTCCCCGCGCCCCTGCAGTTGTCGTTGCCCGCACCCCAGATCTTCTCTTCCCCTCCCCCACCCCGCCCCAAAATGGGACTTTAAGGCCGGGTGGCCGTGTGTTGCCTGGACCCTGGCCGGAGCAGGGGGTGCGGGGGAGACCGCCGCGGGGCTGTCACTGCGGCCGGGCCCGGCCTGCGGGAAGCGAGCGGCCCGGCGGCGGCTCCAGGAGTGTCGGGTCCTTGGCCCGCGCGAGGTGCTGGGGGGTGGTTTAAATTCCCGGTGCGGATGATCCGCCGAGTGTGGCTCTGCTTCCCGGGCGCCCTGTCCCCTTCTCCTCGGAAACACCTCTCTCACCCCCTCTGTTAATGGGGTATCCACGCCCGAAAGGCCTGGCCTCGATCAAATGAGCTACCGTGCCAAGGTTCTGCAAACCTTGAAAGCACTCTATAAATGGAGTGCTGGAAAACCCGAGTTCGCATCCAGCCTCCTCTGCACTGACACCGTGTGTGATCCGGGCAAGTCACTTAGCCTCAGTTTCCTCAACTGTAAAATGGGGAAAATACTAATGGCACCTACCTCGAAGGGCTGGTGTGGAGAACAAATGAGATGTTTGTAAAAAGTGCTTAGCATCGTGCCTTGGCGCTATAGGCGCCATGCTATATAAATGCTTATTCCCTTCTCTGTTGTTTTGAGTTTTGTGCCAGCCTTCAAGGTCTTTCTCAGCAACCTTCTGAAGAAATGACAGCAGTGAAATGTGTCTAATATGGGACTGATGCCCATTTTTTAGGGTGTGGAAAAAGCAGCATAGTTTAGTAGTGGACAGGTCTAGTCCCTGAAGCAGGCGGAGCTGGTTTTAAGCCCACCTCAGTCACCCGATGACTCTATTACCAACCTCTCCATTCCCCAAACTAGTAATTGGCACCAACTGCCTTGTGCATAAGTAGAGATGGTTTCCTTAACAGGAGTTTCTTAGACCAGTGGTGTTGGATTCCTGCTGGGTATTGACTTAGAAAACTACAAATTAACGTTATGTGTTGAATTGCATTTTTATTTATTTTGTTAAGCAATTACATTTTAATCTGGTTCCCTCTGCACTCAGGACTTTTGCAAGCTAGATATCTCTGCCTTACACCAATGAAATTACAGGTCTAGATTAGGACAAAATAAATGGCTTGGGACCTAAGAGGAAATACACTGTAGTTCAATAATATTTAAGAGCAACTTAACTGACTGATGTGACCAGTAGTAACAGTTAATCTGGGATCCCTGTGAAACTTTAAGGTGTGGTTATTGTAGGTAGAGAATTTCATTTTAATTTGGCTCCTTCTTTACTTCCGTGTGTTGTAGCTTCAAGGTCAATGGGAAAACTCTGGCTCTGGAGTCAGAAAACCTAAGTTCAGATCCCACATTACTACCTGTGTGACCTTTGGGCAAGTCACTTAACACTCCCCCTCCCTTTCCTCCTCTGTAAAGTTGAGAGGGTTGACCCAAATGGATTCAGAGGTCTCATTCAGTTCTAGATTTTGATCTTATGTTCTGTCAACAAGTTTTACCATAAAAATTTTTTTTTTTAAGTTTTACCATATTCTAAGCTTGCTGTGCTTTGCGACCTCTAGGTCACCATTTTGTTCCATCCCTGGAAGTGCAGTAGAGGTCTAACTCTAACATAAGGGAGCTTGTACCCACTTAAGTGACAGTAGCACTTTTATGAATTTTTGCTTTTAAATCAAACTAAGTTCAGACTCATAGGATGTTCTTTTTCAACTTTGTCATCTATAATTATTTTTGAACTATATTATTCAAGATCTTATTCTTTTCAGATAAGAATTTCATTAAATTGAGAAAGTGAATTTATCTGTATTCTTCTTGATTTGGCTCAATATTCTCCACTACAATCTTTTGGACTTTACTACTTTAAAATAATGAAGATTCCAGCAAATTTATTTCAAGCATGAATGACTAGAGTCATACATATCTCAGTGAAACAGTTGTGATAAACTAGAAAGAACACGGGACTTGGAGACAACCTAGTTTTAACTCCTTATTTTGTAACTGACCCTTGCTGATCATGTTTCCTCATCTGTAAAATACTTGAACTATCTGCCTTCCAGGATTGTTGTGAGTAAAGTTCTTTGTAAACCTGAAAGTGATTCATAAATGTAAGATATTCCAGAAATGGGGAGTGGGGAGATTTACTTCCTAATTCCCTTCTACCCCCAAACCTGCTTTTCCTGTGAAAAACTTAACTTTTGTTTAGTGACATTTACATCCTCTCTACCAAGAAATGTGTTTATTGTTTTTGCATGTGGATAAAGGAGAAGTCCATCAGTTTTAATGCCTCATATATTTTAGGCCTTCATAGTATAGGGCCTTAATAAATAAATGTTTGAATTTAATTTCTCATATTTGTGCCATTTCTCTATTCCCACTGCCCCCACCATTTTAGTGACATTTCTAGTGACCTCATATCTGGTTGTTGTTGTTCAGCCTTCATTCTCGAAGAGGACCAATGACAGCAAGAGGGTGATGATGTCTTCACTTGCTTGTGAATTGGATTTAAGTGAGGCTGAGCTTCAAAAAGTCATCATCACTCTTCCAGAGTCATCAAAGTCCAGTGGCAACAAAAGTCAAGATGACTGGTGATGGCCTGGATGCAGTGGGTGACCTTGGTCTTCCTAAATTAAAGTCTTTTCCAGGTCTCAGTTTGTCTGGGGCAACTCTGTTCAGTGACTTAAGACCTAGGTAAGACCTGAGACAAAAGATGACTTGATGTACCATTACAAAATTGTCAGTCTGGGTTTCTGGGAAAGGGAAACAGTTGGTATTTACATTCATTATAAGCCATCAAAATCTAAACTATGAGCCATTGAGGCTTGGGCTAGAGGCTATTATTGTCCATTCAGTGAAAGCCAGAGTGATTTGGGTTCAAAGGCATAGTCAGGTAGCTCCATTTGAAACACAGTGGTCTGTTTCGAAAAATCAGTGGACTTCTTTAAAACCATTTTTTTAAAGCTTGTTTTTTCAGAGCTATATTTCAAGAAATCATTAATGAAAACTGCACAGAACAAAAAGTAACTTGTCCCAGCTTTTAGAAGAAAATCTAGGCCCCACTCAACCCCAAAATAGCTTAGAAAATATAAGCAACCTAAAATTATATTCTTATGGAAGAGCACTCACATGTAAGGATATGGTGCCCCAAGTGGCAAGAAGGACTACATGTGGCAAGGAAGCTGTAGTTGTGAGTGGCTGCGAGGGAGGCAGAACAGACATCTCTAGCCTCATCTCCTCTGATCCTTCTCCAAGAGAACCTTTATTCCTGCCAGGTGCATTTTTCAGGGCTGGTTCTGGGGGTCTGCAAGCCCTCAGTTCTTCCAAGAGATAGCTGTCTCACTTGTGCCAAAGGAAGGATTTTCAGGAAGTAATAAAAGAAAAACAATGAAGAAACACCAACAAAAAATTTTTCTTAAGAATTAGCCAAATTTTGGGGCAGCAAGGTGGTGCAGTGGATAGAGCACCGGCCCTGAAGTCAGGAGGACCTGAGTTCAAATCCGGCCTCAGACCAAACACTTGACACTTATAGCTGTGTGACCATGGGCA